TCTCTTATAGGCTTACAAATTATACAAATCAAGAAGCAATTAGTATAACGGGATAAAACTTTGTACGAATAGTGCCTTTGAAGTGTGCCACCTAATGTCCAAAAATTGTGCAAATCGAACTATAACTGTTTAAGCCCCTAGGTACCGTGTGGACCCTAGTAGCTATAGTTAACTTTTTAATGAAAATATCGGTCAGTGTGTGAGATATTTATTATTAATTTGAAATTCAGAGAGGATCAAAAATGGGTTGAATCGGGTCAATACTTCCCTTAGCCTCCCTATACCTAATATATTATATGTAAAGATTTCCGAACTTTCGGGTGACTTTATACCGCATATAGCGGCCAATATGTGAGTTTTCTCAATGAAATGAGAGAGCGTGTTTTACTCATAACATTGTATCTTTGTGTCCAAAATGGATAAAATTGGGTGAAAACTTGACCTAGCACCTATTTAGCTAACACCAGGATTTTCGAATATGCGGCTGACTTTATTACATATGATTTAACCATGGGATATCGACATGTTAATAGTGTGTGGTTTTGGTAAAAATAGAAAAATTGGGTCAATACTACCCCCAACTCCCATATACAGTATATAATAATTTTCGTTTTTCTAACAAGTTTTATGACAAATATGTCGTTCAATGCCCCCAATATACCCCCGATTGATTTCCGTCTTCTTGAAAATTATGTGTTTTAGCACTGAATTAGAATATATACCTTGGTCTAAACATGGGATACCGCTAATACAATGAATTCCGATGCTCTTGTTGACGTTTTCCACATCAACTCAATATATCATATACAAATACTACCACCCGAACTTAGCCCTTCCTTACTTGTTTTTATTTACGATTGTTGAATGCATGCGTATTGCATGTAAATGCAAAAACACATAAAAACGTTTTTTATGTATATATGTACGTTTTTTACTGTCTCTGCATTGTCTAATAAAAATCAAGCACCAAGGAAGTTATCGAAGTAAAACCTCATCCAAAAATTGTCAAAATCGGGCTATAACTTTTCAATTCACCATATACCGATGTTGTGGAACTGAATGCCTATGGCTGACCTTTTACAGAAAATATCGGTAAATTTGTGAAATGTATAGAGGATATTTGCCAATGTGTTAAAAATGGGAGAATTGGGTTAATACTTTCCCTAGCCCTCATATAACCAATATAAAGATTTTCGAACTCCCAGTTGACTATACACTGTCTACATATATCGGTCTTTATAAAATTCTGACAACGCCTTTTCTTGATAATAATGTGTTATCTTCTTAAACTTGTATGAAAACATATTCTAATGTATTATATATTTGAATAATGCCGAAAGTTAATGCAGTTAATGTTAACTTTTAGCTCCAATAAACTCAATATAGTTATTTTCGAGTTTCGAGGAATCGGAGTAAACCTTGGTCTATATATTGATTCCCAATCAGTCTTATAATGAGACCCACTATTTTAATAACAGCTTCTTTGGTTGACTTCATATCACATATTCGTACATATATCTCATTTGCTAAATGACGGTAGATTTTAATATAAATTTCTAGGAAACGAAACCAAATTGGGCAATGAAACGTATCGAGTTTATGACAGTCCAATTCAAATAATAAGATTAAATTCATTTTCAAAATATTTATACTCTTGCAACATGTTGTTACAGAGTATAATAGTTTTGTTCCTCTAACGGTTGTTTGTAGTACTCAAAACTAATCGAGTTAGATATAGGATTATATACATATATATAAATGATCAGGATGAAGAGACGAGTTGAAATCAGAGTAACTGTCCATCTGTGCAAACTGTAACTTGAGTAAATATTGAGATATATAAATGAAACTCGGTACACATATTTCTTGGTACCGTAAGAAGGTTGGTATTGTAGATGAGTGTGCCTCGATCACAAAACGCCATTAATCGAAAAGCAATAAATTGCCATAACTAAGCTCCATAAAAATATACAAGACTGTTATTTGGTACAACGAATCACATTAGGTAGGTGTTTAGTATACATTTTTTTAAAAAGTGACCCCGCTCTCTTATAGGTTTAGTGTGCATATCTCCTAATTCACTTAAGCTATAATAACCAAATTCCAAACTACACACACATATTGCTAACATCCCAAAGGACAGTGTAAAAATCCGTGAAATCGGGTGATAACCCCACCCCCTCCCCATATAACGGTTTTGATTAAAACTACTAAAAGTGCGATAACTCATTAACATGCACAACATAAACAAGTCCGAAACTTAAAAATTTTTTTACACATATGATGGTGAAATTAAGGGTTTTTTGGAGCCAATAAAAAGTTTGACAAGGCACATGGCACCGCCCACTTTAAGGTGTAAACCCATATCTCGAGATCTACTCGACCAATTTCAACGAAATTCGCTCTATAACATTCTTCTAACATTCCGATGTTACAGTATGAAAATGGAAGATTCGATTACAACGGCGATTGGATTAAAACCACGCCTACTTCCCATAAAACACGAAATTAGATTCTATCTGATTTTTTGACTTTCTGGTATACAATACCGGATATACAATATATCGAAACAAAACTTGGCAAAAAGAATGCCTTCAGGATATGACATCTCACGTCTAAAAATTTTCAAAATCGGGTCATAACTGTTCAACCTCCCACATACCGGAGATGTAAACCCCAGTGTCTATGGTTGACTTTTTAAAGATATATCATTGAAATTCGAAGATAATTCTTTTCTGATTATATAACGCCTGTATATCAAAAATAGGTTGAATCAGGTCAATGCTTCTCTTAACCTCCATATACCTAATCAAAATATTTTCGAACTACCGGCTGACTTCATACCGCATATATCGGCCAATATGTGAATTATCCTAATATCAATTTTCTAATAATAGTGCATCTGTGTGGCTAAAATGGATAAAATCGGATGAAAACTTGCCCTAGCTCCCATATAACTGATTTGAGGATTTTCAAACATCCGATTGACTTTACTCCTTATATATTGTTGATGGTATGTGACGTATCTGAATAAACTCAGAAAACTTAAAAATAGATAAAATCTGATCAAGACTACCCTCTCACATACCTAATATAAGATTATCAAACTTCCAGTTGGATTATTAAGTATATATCGGCCAATATGTACGATATCGTTAGAAAACTAAAGTAAACGTATAATATAAATTATAAAATAGTCTAACGCCGAAAAAGTGAGAATTTAGTATATGTAAGTTGTTTTTTTATTATCGGTTACTGTTACTTTATTCGGTAGCGACGGTGTTGTCGACCACCCACGAACTATTTAAATAATATTCCGTTTATGCGAGAGCGACGGTGTTGTCGACTACCACGGAATTATGTTATTTTAAATAAACACAATTTGAGTTCCGTTCTAAAACTGTTTTATTAAAATTACATTTCCCTTATTTATACTCGTATCCTACTATTACTATTGGCGCTACTGCCATTGACGCTGCTTTTCTAAATTTCTGGTGACGCCTAAGCTTGTCACACGGTCGGTGGCTACTGAAATGTGTTGAATTGCGGCTGTCGGTCAGTTCAAGACACTGACTTAGTTAACTATTGTTAACTTGTACAAACCTTATGCCGAATATGCCGGTAAGTCAAAATGTATGGTACTTTAATGAAATTAAAACTAGAACTACGTAGATTTACCATATAGCTCTTTCAAATATGTGTCTCTCTCTCTGAAATTTAGAATCGTAAGGACATAAATTTATAAAAAAATTATGACTTTTTCGTAAAATATTAAATAGGAATATAGAAGAGATGGTATAAATAAATGATGCAACCGGTCATTTTGACCGGTTCGCAGTTTTAGGTTTAAGTAGGCATGTTTTCTTAAAAATTATATTATTGGTTTAGCGCTAAATATGTAAGGATTTGGTGTGAACTTTGATATAAATCTCATATCCCTAAACAAATGATTTCCCATATTCTGGTTGACGTTTTCCACATCATCTCAATATATTAAATTTAGTCGGTTGAGTTTAAATCACATACATACATATATCACACTTGAAAATGATTTTAATATAATTTTAGTTGATGCGAATAAAACTAAGGGAGTCTTTGACCTATAACATAACTTTAAAAATACCAAATTTTTTTGTAATCCATTCAGCATTTTGCTGAAGAATGAATGTTGAATTCTTTCTCAACTTTTTTTATATTTATAAAGTTTTGTCAACATCTGAAGGCATTTCCCGGCTGTAATCTTTGTACGTTGCAAGAGTATAAATGTTCTGTTGCACCCGCACTTATTTCTTCCTTACTTGTTTATCAAACAGTTTTGTCAACACCTGAAAGTATTTCAGCGCCTTTGAGCGTGTATTGTAACGGATGCGAGAGTGTAACGGATACGCCCAAACTTAGCGCTTAGTTATTTTATAGGAATTTAATTTTTGTCTTCTTGTGCTCTCAGTCAGCATGTTTACAGCAACAATAATTGGCGAAAGGTTCGAGCTCAAATCGAAATTTTTTGAAATAGTTAGCATATGTTTCAGAATGTCTTTGTAGGCGCGTCTACTGCCAAGCGATCATTTGTTATATATTTCTGTAATTCTTTGCTTTTTGGATTGGTAAGTCTCGAGCTCCATCAATGTTGCTTGGTATTGAAATCTTTCCAGTTTTACATATACTTGCATATTTGATTAATTAGCATTAACATCATATTTATTAAATTATTTGTAATTTCTAAGTGTCTACTAAGTAGAATTTAAATGTTTTATCAAAGTGTGCTTTTTTTGGATTACCTTTCAAGACTTCAGAAAGTCTCCAAATGCAGAATGAATAAATGATCTTGTGGCTTTTGCTTGTTAAAAAAAAGGCGATAATTTTTTGCAATTAAACTGAAATATATTTTGAGACTGTAAGAAACTATATTTAATAAAAAATTTACTTTAAACTTTACCCTCTGAAGGTTTTAATCTTTTTTGTCTGATCAGCTACCGTTTTCTCATTGCCTATTGTTCTAGCTCTGAGGATTGCTCCGGCCATGTCATTAAAACTGTTCGTCACTGGGACGACCAGTTGTCAAAATTTGTTAAAGCACCTACTTTACTGACCAAACTAATCGCTCCCACACTCCACCCATGTGCGGGTGGTATAAAATTATATGATTTTTATCTAACAGTTCAAATGCTGACTTCAACACCCTTAAAGATTGTGCCGCTATCAATCCATACTTCTAACGCAATACCTCGGCGAGCCATAAAATTACTTACATCTAGAATGCAGGAGTTTGTCCAAAGCGAGTATGCGATTTCGAGGTACACCGCTCTGGTTGTTAAGCAGGTAAACAACACTCCGTTTCTCTTCTCGGAACTTCTTTTAACCGTGCTCAGAAGTAAGCGAAAGTAGTCAACGCCTACGTAGAGAATCGCTCGACTAAATGCTTAAGTCTGGGTTGGGGACAGAGAGGCCATCAAAGGTTGTCGAGGTTGAGATGTTCTGTTTTTATAATGTGAATTATTAGCCAATGTGCGTAGTTATATAATCCAGTAGAATTACCTTATATCTTTGACCAATTTTTCAAATTGCTATAATACTTTACATTGAAGTGGTTTATGATAAGGTACACCTCAAAAGTTGTCGAGTTGGACCTTTTTTCAAAGAAAACCTCCTGCTTTACGAAAATTTTCAGTAGCTGATCCGATCTTCAGTAGCTAGATCTGAACACAATACATTGTAAAATCTTAATGGTTCTGGTACTATCTGAAGCTGTTCTGAAATTGGGTGATGACAGCCAGTAAACTGTGGATGTAGTTCTTCAGTTGCAATACATTACAATTCGTCAGACATAAGCCATGTCAAGTGAATGGTACCAAAATGATGGTCCTTTAAACCATTTTTTTCCTTTTCATTTGATAACTTCATCGCCAACGTTTTACTCAGTTGGAACCCAGTGCTATTCCTTCACGTCAGTCAGCTAACTCGGTAAGCCACGAACTGACGGTGATCGGATCGTAGCCACACTAATACCGTTCCAAATAAAAGCATTTATCAACGTGGATAGAGTGCGATTCGGTAAATGAGATATGAATATTAGCTTCAGTGAAGCTACCCTGGCTTTGCTTGCGATCATTGTACAGTTAAACGCATCGCGATACAAGTATCGGAGGTAACACACTGCTGCGTAACTGCTTTCACTTTCTTGTAGGACAACTTTGGCGTATATTGTGTAAAAGCTGATGAACCGAGGAGGATAAGTATAAATAGTCACAACCAAACTGAAAACTTCGCGCTTAGTAGGCCGCCGTTAACGGAAAATATACTTTTCTTTCTATCTTAACCTCCTCCTTTTAGTCTCTTTCCAGCAGGCCACTTTTGTAATCAGTGAAAGAGAAAAAAGTCGCTGACCTCAAATCTGGTGAAAAGGTTGGGTCGGTGACTAACTCATAGCTTAATGAGGGCGGCTGCCGTTCAATCGATTCAATAATGCACATTATAATTTTTTATGGATTACCATTTTCGCGATAATATAATATACTCGTATATACCTATATATATATATTAATACTTGTGTATATAATAGTAAAATAACTCTACGTAAATGCCAAAACTGCTGGCTAAAATCAAAAATAGCAGAGGTGCGTCACTTTGAGACCAATAACTTACGAAGGGTTCTATGAAATGTTATAAAACTGGGACACTATTATATTTAAGGTTAGTACTCTAAAACACGAAAAAAGATTTTTTGCTCTCGACACAATATCTCAGTCAGGCCCAAGACTTTGTCCATGTAATACGTTATCAAATACCACAGAACTAATTTAATTTGTATTATTTCATATAAAATTTTTTTAATAAGTACTAAGCAAAATTGCAGGTTATAATATTTTCCATTGACTTTTCTTCACTAGTTCTAAAAATTGTTGGTAGTCTCTATAATTAAAATCAAAAGTATTTTATAGAATTATTTCCATCTTTTGTTTTGGCCATCTGATATTTAAAAATAACTTATTATATTCTTTATTGTAGATTGCGTGACATTCGTATAAAATCTAGCGTACTGAATTTAGATGAACACAAGGAAGTTTCGTTTGAACTAAACTGGGACATAAATCGCGATCCTTCGCAACGACTACAACTCTTAGCTGAATACAAAACGCCCTCCATGAGTGAACGTAATGGTCAAATTTTAGTAACATATCCCGACCGCACAATAGCATGCCTTTTTAATGCCCATACCCAGTGGCCGGAATATTATGGCGATTTTTATTCTTCGTGGGATATCAATGAAGCAATTATCATTAAATATAGTCTCGGTCTTGGGTCTGGACAAAATAAAAGCTATTGGCTTCATGTTGATGGTTACACACCTTTCCATGGTTGGAATGTAAACAGTTTCGATGCAAGTTTATACAATTTTGGAAGTTTATTATTAGCCAATACATCGATAATGTGGGGTGGAAATGAGCACTTTGAACTTATTTACAAATACGATGTAAATATTCAAGAAATTCTAAAAAATATTGACATTGTTTTTGGCTTAAATAGCTCGCTTGTAGAAGTGCCATCGATAAATTTTATAATACATCATTTGTATGATGCAAGCAAAATAGATACAGATTTAAGTTTGCATTATAGTAGCGCAAATGAAACTAAAAGATATTGTTGGAATTCAAAATGGGAGTTAAGAAAAAGTCTTCACTACCAAAACATCAGTGGGACAATTTTCGTACTCAGTCCACATAAAGAGTTTTGGAAAGGCGGTTTAGTTACAAAATGGAGCCTTCATAACAAACAAAATTTAATCGGAGCAGCTTCAATAACATATAACTTACGAGAAATCTCTTTAACTTTGAATGGTTATGTTAATAAATTTAATGATAATATGATTACTTTTAATATTACAACTCCATTAAACGAATATCGCGATATAAAAGGTCGATTTGGTGTAATGGAAAAAAAGCACAATGTCGTTGCCGAAATTCGAACGCCCTCCACAGCTTTTGGGGTTGAGGTATTACTTGATATTAAATCTCTTGCTGATTTTGATGTCAAGTTGAGTGTAGCAACACCTATTGAAAATGTAAAACATGCTGCCCTATACGCGAAACTTAAAAGAGCTGCTATGGATATGCGAGGTATATGGAATAATGTTACAATTGGTTTCACCGGAGTTTCCTATATGAACGATTTAACAGATTTTGAGTATTCATGTAAGGTATACACTCCTCTTAAAGACTTTGAAGAAAACGGTTTTGTCGTTAAGTTTTTAAAAGCGGATTCGTTTGCACTACATTTATATTCTAGACTTTCACGCTATGAGTGTGGTATACAAATAAATGGAAAACCTAAATTGGTTATTTTAAAAGAATTAGATACCGAGATCATTGATCTCGAAACAAGATTTGATGAAAATTTCAAACCTCCGAAAATTGATCAGAAAGAGTACAGCAATATAGAAAATTTCGAGTACGAAGAATTTTTTTCTTACAACATGGATTTTCTGGTCGATTTACTCTTCTGGCCTACCGTTAAAGGCATTCTGGATATTGAAGAAATATTAGACTATTATTTTATCAATGCGAACATTGAACTTCCACAAGGCTATGTGGATATACAAAATAATCTATATTTCCCAGATTATTTACGCATAATTAATGTACTGAGCTTAGAAACTCCTTTTGAAAATATAAAAAAAGTAAAATTAATAACGGAGCATCAGATTGACATAGACTTTCGGCAATTCCATGAAAAACTGTACTGCAATGTTCACAACGCTGAAAATTTATCGAACGAAGCGGGAATTGAAGTTAATTACAATGAAATCACGGATTTAGTAAATTCGCCTGAATATAATTTAAATATAATTTTGGAACTACCATCGAAAAAAATATTAAACCTGACTGGAAAAGTGCATTTGGAGGAAAATATATTCAAGGGTAATTTGATAACGATCACAGGCAAAACATATTTTTTGCTTACAGCAGCTATGGAGGTGAGTAGAGTGTTTTGATATAAATTAGTATTCATAAAACTAAGGTATACTTATTCCTTTTTAAATCTGGTCAAGTCTGTTTCTGTCTCTGAGATGAGCTTAACTTAGTCTATTTGTTTAGAAAACAGTCTTTACTATTTATTATTAAAAATGTTTTTTTTTTTAAATATAGACAATTTCTTGAGAAATGACAATATATATGTTTTATTAGCATGCTTGACGTTCCAAGTTTTGTTGGCAGATTCAATTTGCTTAGACATGCGATTCAGCTCTTCCTTCAGTTGCTATAGTTTATCCGAGATAGCAGAAGCTGTCGACGAACTAAATTTGGTTATTGTCAATCACTCTGCTTTTTGATTGGCTGTCACGGCTTTCGTTTTTGAGATCCTTGGATTAGGCGACTTATATTGTAAGGGACTGTATTCCGACTTAACAGCCAGTAGGGCCGTAAAAAGAAAGCCGGGCGCGGGGAGGATATAGGTCACAGCACCCTGATCCATCAATTGTTGGAGAAAAAATCTGCAAACAATTTTTACCGGGCTCGGGAGGAATTGTCCTCAGTCTTCCCCCTACCTGGTCACTGCCAGCCAGATTGAATTTCATTTTATCGTGTCGAATGATTTCTTGAAGTCCACAAACAACATGGTACGCAACTTCAGGGACTTGGGCTTTCGATATTTTCACGATTAGTTATATGATTATTATAATACTGATTTGCAAAACCTATACATAAATATGATTAAATATTTATGAGAGAGGACCAAGATTTAAACTTTACATCCATAGAAGCATTGCTTTAAACATATGAGCCCAAAATCTCGGAACTAATAGAGAGAAAATAAATTTAAGCAAAGAAATGAATTAAAAGCAATGCATCTGAATTCATCCAGCAATCGATTTCCCAAAACATTTGACCATGAGTCTGAATTTTAATTAAACGATTTTGTCGATTTTAATTAATTTAATTTTATTTTATTTTGCTACTTGTATTAAAATTTGCGTACTGCTTGAAAAGTTTCAGTGAGCATAGGTAGGTTGGGTTTTATATCGGCAATAATATTTTATGATTGAAGAATTAACACCTCGCGATGATAATGGTGACTTACTCCAGATTGTAAGGAACGATGCCATGACCAGGACTCTGACAGAGTGGCATTCATAACGAAGCGTATTATTGACAACATTTGTGCTCAATTGCGTAACTGCTTACAAATTACTATCTCTGACTCTAATTATTTGAAGGCTTAAACTAGCCTGCTGCATCACAACGGAAAGAATTTGAACCCCATTGTTCGTCTTGGAGAGCTGCTCCGCAAGAAATCATCTTTCACTGGCGTTTTCGTACATACAATACAGCGCTTGCATCTATTGGCGAAAATATATTCTTACGCCTTGTAACGTTTTTACATTTATATATTTATTGAAGCAATATGGCGCATTATCTGTGTTTGATATAAACAGTTGATAATAGCTTTGAGATCAAGATTACTATTGTAAGTTGACCATCACGGACATAATCCTCTCTCTCGCAGAAGACTAATGCTACCATAAGGTTCAACTCTAGCATAAGTCCTAAATCCCTTTTAATTACCTGGCTTGTAGTCAGTGCCTGTATCCTTACAAAACTGTATAAGCAATGATCTTTATTTATCTTGAGACTGAATTTTCTTAATATATTATATGTTGAAAAGCTAATTTAGATGTTCTAGGGTTCTTTAACAAAACGTCAATTTATAGATTAATTACATAGAATCATAGGTTACAACTACCGTTACTTTTTTTGGAACGCGTTTAAGATAGTTGACGCCACATAAGTGTAAAAAATTGAGAAATACAAACAAATGAAGAATTAAAAAATTACATATACATATGTACGTTTTTTTATAAATTCCATTAATTACAATATATTCTCGCATTATGTTGTACAGAGAATTACAGCTTTGTTCCCCCAACGGTTGTTTGTAACACCTACACCAAATAGAGATATATATAGAGTTAGAATTAAGATATCTTGATGAAACTTAATAAACGTGTTCCTCAACACTCTGAAGAGCTTGGCAGCACACAAAATACCGTTAAGCCAAAAACTACAAAGTACTATAACTAAGCTAATAATTAAGAAAAATCCCCATATCCCTAATATGTGGATCTAGACCAAATTCATTCAAATTCAGCACTAAACCACATTATTTTTAGTAAAAGTCGTCCACTTAATTTATTTAAATTATGACGCACATGAATCGACATAAACGGTTTAAAGAAAGGTCAGAAATCAGATATCACACTATCGGGTATATTTGGTGTAGGCGAAGTTGCGGACTAATTGCATTAACGTTTGGTATTACTAAAGTATACTCGAAAACAAGTTTCAACGTAATTTTGCTGAGATAACCTACACACTAATCCAAATATTCGGCATGAAGTATTCTATAATAACGAAAATCATTATACAGATATGATATATGGGAACTGGGGAGTAATTTTTGGCATCACGATATTCTATGGTATTACCAGAAAAGGATGCTCACAAACTTTCAACTAGGTACCACACATATTGACCAATCTACGTAAAAGGCATAAAGTCCACCGGATATATGGAAGCTAGAGGAAGTATTCACCCGATTTTATCCATTTAGGCACAAGGATTCACTTAAAAAGAGATGACTTCTTAGTTTCAACTCGAACTTATCCCTTTTTAGCACAAGCGCACACCATTATCAGGAAAACATTTCCTCTAAATTTTAATAGTACGAGTATATCTCAAAAATTTAAATTTTTTAAGGGAATCTGGCTACTTGAAAGTTATGATCGATTTCGACAACTTTTAGACCTTAAATGCCACAACCTAAAGCCACTCTTTGCACAAAGTTTTATTCCGACATTTTCTTTGATATTTGATTCCCATACTGTTTAGTGAAAGAATCAGATAGAATTTTAAAGTTGTGATTTAAGGGAAGTAGGCGTGGATGTTGTCCGATTTCACCCATTTTAACAATAGTAGTTGAACAGAATATCGGTAGGTTATAGTTTAGAAAACTTAATACACTCAATGGAACTTAGACTACCTGATTATATCAAACCAAATACTAATTACTAAATACCGATATATCAAATGTTATGTTAAAATTTGCATTTTCTGCTCATTGGTAAATTTATTTAAAAATTCGAGTATGTTTTAATTTTGTAAAGGATTAATAGATAGTTTAAGTTTTGACTTGTGAAATTTGTAGCTGCTAGCTATCAGAGAGAAGAAGAATGCGGTAATGGAGAAGTTACTCTCATTAGGAGCGAAATAACGAAATAGTAAAGAAACAGAAAACTAGTAAGAACTAGTGACGAAACACTAACGCTTAGAATCTAGATCTAGGAGAAGTCACAAAATTGTCAACATTTGCTCTGAATAAATTGAAAGTGATGCAGGAAAATGCAGATTAAAGTTTTCGTAAATTTTGTTAAAATGTCGTTATAATTCGTTCAGTTAAGGCATTGAAATGAAAATGTCCCGTCGATCTGGTCCTCAGAAAAATCGACTCAAATTTGGACCTCAAGACATTTAAGATTCTACAGAATTTAATTTTATGTATCATTTTTCTATTTGTCATTTACGAAGCCGATTTGAAGAAGTATAATTTTTTGAAACTTTAGACAATTATTCTCAATGAGAAACCCCAAAAATTTTACGAAAAAATCGTTTATTATTCCGCGTCAATTATCATTTTTAAAGTCAGAATGTGGAGAAAATGATTCTAAGGTCGAAAGATCCATGCAATGCACATTACTTTTGACCAAAATATTTACACGCTAAGAACTTTGGGAAAACTTTAGAATACCGCCCCTGGATTTCGGGGATAAAATGAGTATGGGCGAATAGAGGATGTTCTCCAGACTAATAATGTCTAATTTATTTTCTGTCATTGAGGAATAATCTGTTTTCTTTATTTCTTTCAGTTCATTTACAAAGGATGTCGATAAAGTAACACTGGCTATTTGTCAGTATGCAACCGTGTAGTTATTGTATGAATAATTATAATTGAACAATAAGTTAAATATTGAATTAAAGCTATTTTAGCACTATATAATGTGAAATAAATGTGTACAAACAAATTAATAAAGTGTTAGTGGATATAAAAGTGAAACATATAAATATAAAATTAATTTTAGATCGAAAAAATACGTGGTTTAAATAGTTAAAATTTTCCATTTAGAACGCAAATACCTCGAAAACTATAAGTTTCCCGCGGCTATATATATATATATTCTTGATCAGGAAACAATCCTCTATCCGCCCCTACCCCGGAATCCTGGGATGATTTTCTAAAGCCGACCCGGAACTTTGTATCAACAACTTCAACTTATATCTCCACATAAATAAATGGGGAGCCATTTAAAAATGTAAATTTGATTCTTCGTGTTTTGTCAGTATTGTCTGCACCAACAGCAACCCCAGAACGAAGTTGTCAACTTTAAAAAGAATCAAAACGGACCCGATGGGACAAGAGCGTCGAAATAGAACGTAAACATTCCCAAAAGTATAAATTTAACTGAAGATGAAATCCTGCGAGAATTTTTTAAAAAGCCTTAAAGATTTAAAAAAAATTTTTAGATTAACCTCGGATATTCTCTATTAAGCCGTTGTAATTAAATATTATATTATTGTTTCATCATGTTAGCCATGTTTAATATAGCTTATGTTATTTTCGCTCTTGCAACATGTTGTTACAGAGTATAATATTTTTTTCACCTAACTGTTGTTTGTTATATATATATAAATGATCAGGATGAAGAGACGAGTTGAAATCCGCGTGACTTTTTTAAGGTGGGCGTGGTCCCGCCTGCTAATAGGTTTAATGTGCATATCTCCTAAGCCGCTAAAGCTATAATAACGAAATTCACTGAGCACAAATTCTTTTAGAACCTCTATCGACAGTGTGAAAATGGGTGAAATTGGTATATATAGACAACTAAGCTCCACAATAAGATTAAAGACTGTTATTTGGTATACAGAATTACATTAGAGAGGAGCATATGCAGTTTAAGTTTTTTTTTTTAAATTGGGTGTGTTTTAGCACTCCTATCGACAGTGTGAATATGGGTGAAATCGGGTAAAAACTTGGTTGAATCGGAACAATTCTTCCTTTAATATAAAATGTTGCCAACATCTGAAGTAATTTCCCGGGCTTTGATCCTTGCAAGTTGCGAGAATATAAAATGTTCGGTTACATCCGAACTTAGAACTTCCTTACTTGTTTATATACCGATTTTTTATAACTACACATACATACTTCCAATTTCCAGTCTGAACAAAATTTTTTGGAAGCTTCCTTTAATTTTTCGTTAGAGGAAAACATGAGTCTACAGCACAAAGGAACTGCTTACTTTAAACATGATCTTTCTAAAGAAGACAACACTTTTGATATAAAAATAGAAATAATGAATCAAAACGATATGATCAAGGTGAGTTGTATAAGTACGAATGTTATATAGTAATACAGGACTACAATATCTTAGTTTCAAACCGAGTCTATGTGGCAATGTGAAAATGACAATGGGAAAATAACTTCTAATGGCAAATTTATAGCTACGTTATTACCTTTCAAATTATTTGAGTATACATTTCTACTTAGTAGCGAAGAAAACCCGCAATTAAATTTTGATTTAGTATTTTCAAATAAAAATGGAAAAAATCTTAATTTTGGCTTGAGAGCAATAAAAAAGGACGAAATTATCAATGCAGAGCTATGGACACCAATGCAAAATTTCAAAAATATATCTCTCCATGGTACGGTGACTCCCATTTCTCCCAATCAATACCAAATTGAAGGAGTGTTCTATCGTGATATGGTAACTTATGAGATAAATGGTATAGTTCAGATGAATGGACGATTGCCATTAAAAACACGGTTGCAAACACTTTCATTGCATAACAATCAAGAAGGACTTATTGAGTTAAATATATTAAAGGAAAAAGAAAAACCAAATGACCTGCTTTTTCAGTTTAATGCTATTGAAAATGGGAAAAGATGTAAAATATCTGGCAGTTATTCATATCACAACCAAACTGGTATCGACTTATCTGCATTTATTGAATCAACGGAAGCTACAATTAAACGAATTTACATTAAGACTAATTTCCAATATCCGGAAAATGATTGTGTTACAGCGAAAATATTTCTAGAAACACCTTGGCAGGATATTCGTCTTGGAAAAGTGGAACTCTGGTCTGATATAAAAACACGGTTAGATTATGGGAAATTAAATGGTGGTTATCAATTCGATTCCTATAGGGGCTATGGCAACTGTGAGTGGACTTGGAAACCTACGGAGAATATGCGCCTTCTAATAGAAAGCAATATTGAACAACCAAATGCTAATACAAGTCATTTCTTTTCTGAGATAAAATACATAAACCCTAATAAAACATTCAACGATTTAAGAGTGGGTGGAAAATTAAATTTCAGTTCAATATGGTATTTTGAAATAAATGGAAATCTAAATTATGTATCCATTAATAATATTGGATTTGGATTATTAACACATTGGCCTACGGCAGACGAATATATACATGATTTTAGAGGACAATACCAAGGAAACATATTTAGCGAACAGGGAAAAGGTTTAGACATATCTATTGAAGGAAAATATTTTGCTAAACAAAACAACAGGAGCTGTATAACGCATTTATCGTATAGAAATCTAACAGACCTACATAGCGTAGTCAGTGTTGAGTGGGGAATTGCTGATAAAACCACAATAGTCCGTACAGACTTCCAAATGCTAAGAAAAGAGAAAACTCTTCGCGAATTTTTAGCTACATTAATCACCCCAAAATTTGAAAATGAAGCTACAGTATATTTAATGGGCTCGTATAATCGTATAAAAGGCAACTACCACTATTTTAAGTAAGGAATTTTAAAAATTTGGTATTTTAAGATTATAACTATTTTACTATTTTAATAAAAACAGTTTATCTGTTAACTATCCATACACCAGAACGGTTGCCGATATGGATATAGCCATCAAGTCGATTGAAAACTTAAATGGTAAATTGAACTTCACCACGCCTTTCCTGAATGCACCATGGCTCAACACTTTATTCAATATCAGCACAAATAAGTGAGTAATTTTCTATCTGTTTATACAATTTAATTTGTACAATATCATAAATTGACATATTTACAATTAATATAATTTAAAATAAATGACCTTAAAGCTCTTTTATTAAATTTCGTAACGACCATTTTACTCTTATACGAGTATAGGTACATATACTTGTAGTACAAACCTAAATATGTATATTAATTTGACGAGCTTTCATTGCATTTTATTACCATTTCATAAACCGCTGCATTGTGCATTTAACTGATATTCAGGATTTTGAAGCATTGGTCTCTCTTTTCTCAAGTGTACTTGAGTAATGTCAAAATTAATGCAATCAGCCCTTTCATTTCTGTACCCAAATATATCCCACATTATGATTTCCGACTTTCCACCTGAATTTAAGCCGTTTAGGTGTGTCAAAATATGTGATATTTTAGTGAAATTAAGTGGAGACGTTTTCTTAAAAGTTATAAAGTTATATTATATTAATAGTTTGGCATTCAATATTATATAAATGAAATTGGTCTTGGTCTTGGTCCAAACCTCATATCCCTAATAGTTACAATGAACTCCGATGATTTGGTTGAGTTTTTTCACATTAACTAAATATAATAAATTTAGTTTTTTTTGGTTGAGTTTACATCACATATGGTATATCGCATTTAAGGATGATTTAAGTATAATTTTTGCTGACGGGGAGTAAAATATGTTATATTTGAACGATACAACGTCTAAATAAATATGTATGGCTCCAATATGATGAAAAGCAAGAGTACGCAAAATTCCAAGGTCTAGGAGTAAAAGATAAAACTGCTTTTTTTAGGCAAAAAATTGTAATGTTGTGTTCAATATCCTGCATAGTTACGTATGTTTATGTATACATGCATCAACAAAAAAGCGGTCCGGTAAACTGATTGTCCCTTGGTTTTGAGGCGTGAATATGGTTTACGTTTTCTATAGACAATTATAATTTACTAGTGGACCCCGGCCACACGTTGCTGTGGCGAAGGTATAGGTATATACACTAATCATAAAATATTCAATGCAGTAAACTTGTATTTATGAATAGAAACGAAAACGTTATTTCCGGTGTAAGAATCCAAGGGATTATAATTTTAACATTATTTCCAAATCGGTTTATCCGTTCCTGAGTTATAAATAGTGTAACTAACACGACTTTCTTTTATATACCATAAATATTGTAGATTTCAAGTCTTCAGTTTTTACATTTGATTTATTCACAATGGTAGAACTAGTCTTAAATATGTATGTAAAACACAACTTAGCGCATTAAGTGTCCGCATACTCTCCTGTATCAAATTTAACTGACTAACTTTTTTGTTGCTTCAACACGTAAATTTTAGACAAGAAAGCAGCAAAAATAGCGATACAGCTATTGCAGTATCCACAAGAGGGAACAATAAAAATGCACCATTTTTAAAAGTAAAAATACACCACGCGAAACGGGAAAGAGACGGGAAACAAAGCTATAAATAGACACAATGAGTGTTTCCACATGAATTTTCCATTCGCATGTCTATTTAGACTGTGGCTTACAATTTCTTTGACTTAAAAAAACGTTACATAAGTGGTAGTCACGAAGAAGAGTTCAATCCTCTTCGAATACAATTCAGTCATTTACGTTCGAATTTCCTTTTAACACGGTTTTGATATAAACTGTTAGTTATTGATATCCGCCAACTAAATCTTTTACACGGTTAAGATTTCTTTACTCCGTTTTTGGCAATAGTGTTTTTCAACACGTGCAATATATTAAAATAATTCTTAATGCCGGCAAAATGCTTAAAATTAGTCTAATACCATCTTCCCACCAAAAATTTTAAGTGATTAGATTACATTTAATCTATTCATTAATCTAGACTGTCCTCACTTCCATTTGAAACTCTATTAGATCGGCTTCGGCGGCCTCACTCCACATTACTCCCTTTTTTTATACTCTTGCAACATATTGCTACAGAGTATAATAGTTTTGTTCACTTAACGGTATCACTTAAAACTAATCGAGACAGATATAGGATTATATATATATAAATGATCAAGATGAAGAGACGAGTTGAAATCCGGATATATGTCTGTAAGTCCGTCTGTCTGTACAAGCTGTAACTTGTTCCTTGGCCAAAAATGAGGCAAGTTCATGTATGGCCGTAATCGGACCACTGCTACGCTCACAAAACACCATTAAATGAAATCCTATAAAATGTCATAATTAAGTCACTTTAGATGCAATGACTACTTATGCTCAGGGCAAACCCTGTCTGCCCACTCCCCATATAACGGTTCTTTTAAAAACTACTAAAAGCGCGATAAATTAATAAATAAATACGCCAAAGACATACAATTTTAAACTGAAGATAGTACGAGAAGGGCTTTATGGAAGTCGGGGTCAAAATAAGGCGATGAGCGTGTCACTGCTCACATTTAAGTGAAAATCCATATCTTACTACCTAGCAGGCTCATTGATTTTACAGTTTCTGGCGATTCGGCTGTGACCGAGCACCCATACGAGTCTAGTATGGAAGAAGCTTGATGATATTGCTAATGAGGCCATGCACTCCTTAACAAGTTTTGATCGCACAGTCAACGAGCTCAAAACCATTGCAGCCACACGACTATCAGAGTGAATGCATACCTCTCTGAAGGAGCCTCTACGTCGGAGCAGTACCGCTACCTTGATGGCAGCTACCTCCACTTAAAAGACGCTACATTGGTTTGGTAGTCTGAAACTAGAGTTGATGGAAAGATCCCGACAGAAGAGTCTACCTCCTACATTCCCTCTTAACTTTGATCCATACGTGAAAAAAGTTCACTGCATCTCTTCACCAAGGGCTTAGGCCCGACCATAAATCCCTCGCAGGTGTGTAAGCAGAGAAGGAACCGCCAGGCGAGGATTCCGCGATGCAGTGGTCTAGATTCTAATGAGTGAAATCGCAGTAATGGGGAATTTCAATGAGTCCCGGCCCCTCATATACCCAGCTTCCCTAAAACTAATAGCAGATTTCGCCAGCATGCACCTACCAGCTATGTCTACAGGACATGAAAATAGAATGAAATTGACTGCCATTGTTGGTCTTGTCCTTAGTGCAATGATGAGGGCCGCTCTTTGAACACGTTCCAGTTGCTTAGATACTGTAGTTTTTACGAACGCCTTCCACCAGACAACGATCCCGTAAAACATTTTTGCCATAACTATGGTTTTATAGAGCCAGATCACTACCTTTGGTGAGAGACCTCACCTCTTCCCAATTGATCCTCTAAGACATTAGAGAGAGTAAAATCAGGGATTTTGCTTCTCCTAGTAAATAAAACTAGCTAAGCTAGCTAATTAATTTCTCTCCGCCCACCTGGTTACTACATTTAGATACCCTTGGGTGAGATTGTAAACGATGTTTAAGAATTTTCCTTTTACCAAAAGAGCTACATCGTCCGCGTAAGCCCAAAACCTGGCAGCCTCATTCCTCCAGTTCTTGTAAAAATGACCATGCACTTTCCCACTCTGCCATAACCGTTCTGTCGCATAGGAGACTATAGATGATATGATTGAAATTAGCTTTGACCTCGATCTTATTGAAAGCTCCAATAACCGGCTCCGACAGTACAATATTGAAGGCCCCTCAATATCAAGGAAGTGCCCAGTAGTTGTCCTTAGCAGTGACACGAGAGCTTTACCGGCCTTCGAGACGATCGCCACTCTAACCTGCATCCAAACCACGAAATGTGGCATAATCTGACGAGTAGTTCCTGACGCTCTTAAAAGATAATTCTTCCGGGTATAGGTTTAGCGGAAAGTGAATTCAGGAGAGCTGTAGTCGATTATTGCATGAATGCAAATGATGGAGGATTATTGTTCTCAGACTTATATTAAGTAAGTCCCGCTTATATGTTACAATGTCCAATCTACGCTAAGTCCGCTTCTGAGAGCCTTATTGAACAGTTTTCGCTTGAAGATTTGAGTTCCGACTGCTTCGGTGTCCACCAAGGGTTCCGGAATATCTGATCGAAGCTTCTTGCAGTAAAGGTCTCAGTTCGGCTAAAGCTCTAATAGGTTCAGTAACTAGACCTGCTCTGTCCAGGTAAAACTAATAAAGTTGTTGTCGGAAAGAAAAAGGTCATTTAGAACACTTTCGAGATCAAGGAACAAACCATAGTTCTCAAAACCATAGTTGATGCCTCTTTATGGCGGTGAGAGATCCGATGGACCTCTTGTTCAAGAGCACTAGCACCTGAAGATGCTTCAGCATTGCAAGTCACCCTCCAAGCATTTTAAAGCGACTACATGCGCTGGTAAAAGAATGCGATTATGCTGTAAGACAACGCTCGGCCTCACGTTTACAAACCCGTAAAAATCCGAAACACATAATTGAGGATGATTAATAATGGCTTACGCGAAGTAAATATAGTACGGAACATTCCGTAATATAAAGTTTTGCCAACACCTGAAGGTATTTCACAGGCTTTGATCCATCGTCTCAATTTGTTAGCCATATATTGCGATTTTATGCTACTGGCAATATTCAGCAATTAATTGGAGATTCCAGGTGTACCTACGCACTAGCACCAACGTTCATAGAATACAAAGCGACAACCTTGACGTCATTAAACCACTATCGTTATACCTACAGCGGGCGATTTTGAAAACAAAAGATATTATTATATTCTCGCAACATGTTGCTACAGAGTATAATAGTTTTGTTCACCTAACGGTTGTTTGTATCACCTAAACTAATCGAGTTAGATATAGGGTATATATATAAATGATCAGGATGAAGAGACGAGTTGAATCCAGGGACTGTCCATCCGTCTGTCCGCGTCCGTGCGAAGCTGTAACTTGAGTAAAAATGAGATATCTTTAAAACTTTACACATGTTTCTGGCGTAAGACGGTTGGTATTGCAGATGGGCGTAATCGGACCACCGCCACATAACTAAGCTCCGCATAAGATACAAGACTGTTATTTGTACATAGTCCAGTCATAATAGTAAGTTCACCTCGAATTC